ACAAAGCAAATGCAAATAATACAAGCACCAGTTCAAAAAACAAACAAAACAACAAAAAAGACAAAAAAGACAAAAAACCCAAAACTTTAAAAACACATCTGTTGCTGACAGTAAATGCAAAGAATACCGTGCACTAATATTTCCAATTGTGTTGTTCTGCAGAACGTTCTTGTAGTTATTTTTACAATTGCAAGGATTTAATTAAAAGACTTTTGCTACATGGTTCTAGCAGCCAAACATGAAACAACCCCCCCCCCAACTTTCACACAGGAACTGGCTGATTAGGAGAAAATGGTGCGAGACAATACAGATCTTACACTTAGGCTTTCTAACAAAGACAGTAAGAAACACTGGAAATGAGATCAGACTCCCGTGAGGAGGTTAAGACCTTGGGAAAAAAAAAAAAGTTTTCTGTCATGTCAAACTGCAGGGAGAGTGACAGTCCAGGGGACAGGAAGAGGAGAGCATGAGCAGTCTGCCTCTGAATTGCTGCCAGACTCACTAAGGACTCTCTCTTTCTCCTAACTCAAGAAGGAAGCCCTTTCAGTCTAGCATGAGATTAATGTTAGGTGATAACATGCATAGAGCCCATTTTACTCTAAATTGGTCTCCATAATGCCTTATTCTGTTTCTGTCTGCGTTGCTTTTGTTACTTAGGCTGCTGGGCACACATGCCTCAAAAGAGGACAGGCACACAACTGGACCCACCGTATGCTAGAGTGCAGATATGAGACTATCTCAGTCCCAGCCTGGAAATATAAATTCCTAGTGAAGCAAGATGACGTCCAGCATTTAAAACAGTGCTGTCAGAATGGAAACAAAATTGAGGTCTGGCTCCATTATCGTTACATCTCAGTGAGAAAAATACAACTTTCAGAATTTGATCTGAATCATCCTGAAGGAGACTGTCAGGGTTAGGAGCCTGTACTTTCCCCAAGACTGCAGAGAGCATCCCCTTGGGCCTGCTGCCCAGGACTGTTTGTAAGAGTCCTCCCCTTCGCTAGGACTCTAGGACAGTACCACTAGTGGGTTTCAAATACGCATTTATTTCAAGAATTATCCTGATCAAAGTGGATTTTTATGAGTGGTCCATGTTGCTTGTCAAAGTGCATGACAAGCTACAGGAAGAGAGCAGAGTTTCAAAAGTTTTCTCTCTGTCTGAAATACAATCCCATGTGGTCCTCCTCACCTCAAGAAAAAGAGGCAGGCTGGAATCAAAGCCTGCCCGCTCTGGCCCTGTTCCTTCATAATGCTTAAATGCAGGCTGTTCAACATCTCCCAGAAACTGTTCAACATCTCCCAGAAACAGCTCTCTTGCTCTTGCCCTACCTAGGCAAGACCTGTTACCCATTCCAACCTGTCCAATTCCTGTACATGTTACAGAAACATCATGAGTGACAGATCCAGATACAATGCTAAAGAAACACCTCATGTTTCCCAGGTTCTAGTACAGATAAGTAAACTACATTTAAAAAAAAAAAAAAAAAAGAAGCTTCCAGAAAGTAGGGAATCTACTTATACCAAACCTCCTTTGCAGACGCTAACTGACAAGCTCTACTGACGAAACAGTTCAGCACACAAAATATAATGGCTTATAGGTGTCACTGGCATTCACACAGAATCCTAACAATCACACTGCTGTGAAATTCCCAAATGTTACAAAAATTTATGCTCGAGAGCTTCTGGGCCTATCTGGGTCTTCTGTCACCGCCACTGATCTTAAGGCAAAGGGACAATTACATTGCGCCTCTTTGGTTTGCCTAAAGCAAGCAAGGCGCTTTGTTCAATGCTATCATTTTGCAAACACAAAATTTACATGCAGCGCAGGGAATGCCAGGCAGCTGTGAAACAGAATACTTTCCCAGAGTCAAGCTCGGTTAGTTTCTCCGCACCTAATAAACTAAAACATCTTCTAGATGTTTTTCACCTTGCATCACTCGTACATTTTCCAGGAGCTGAAAGTTTTCCTGAAGACACTATTCCTCTTAGGATCATACATAGATATATTTTAATGTGTTTTTTTTTTTAATAGCATAAAATTGTGAAAATTACTGCTCACACATTCTGTTTATCTCAATATCAAGATAAGCAAGTAACCCTTGCTCAATACTTGCATTGCAAGACCTTCAGGCCAGGCACTAGCTCCAAAGAATTATGCAATTCCTGTTACAGACACGCCCTGCTAAGACTGAAGTATTAATTCCCTTGCTTGTTTTATGCATCTGAAATAACACAGGGTTTAGAGTGTTTTTACCTAGCAATTGAAGTGATATGGAAAAAGATTAAGATGCTATTTCAGCTTCACCTGTGGCACCCCAAGCACTAGGGTAAGTGGTCTAAGCCAGGGCTGTGAAAAATATGGAAACCTCTGCTATGAAGGAGGCAGCTAAAGGGAACCCACACAGCAAACCTGTATTCTCTCGCAGTCAGCAGGAGAAAACCAAGGAACAGAGCTGCCCGACACAGTGCTATGAGAACTTTACAAGGCTCTACCAGCTGGCTGTAGTTGATGGCATTTGCCAGATATGTTTAATTTCACTTACACCCTCAAATATATCCAGATACTTTCAGTCTCTCAAAAGAGAGAATACTTGCATAAACAACTGAACTGGAACAAAAAAAAAAAAAAAAAAAAAGACTTGAGCACTGGCAGAACATGACAAACAATTGCCTCAGAGGTGCCTGGATTTGCAAAGTCAGTCCTCTATATGTTTAATTCTGAATCCTTGGAAACTAGGGCAATTTTACCAATATTTTCACTGGATCAGAGTTTGATCTCTCATTCTTACTTATTATGGCCTGAAAACTAAAGCCAGCTCATACACAACCAAGTATTTTCTATATATACATTCCTAGGGGAATAGCCTATAGAAACAGAGGAGGAAGCAGTAATGGCACTCTTTGTTCTAGAAGACGAGAGCCAAAATTACAAGAGGAAAGTGAAAAGCTAACATTAACAATGACCATCCATAAAAGAATGACTGCTGCAGCAGGGGCTCAGCTTAAGGGAAAGTGAAACGATATGTCAATAATAAGAAAACACAAGCGCCACATTCTTATACTACTTTCTAAAGCATGTGCATTTAAAAGATTTGATCTATCTGGTTTCTGTCAGATGTTTCTTATTCTTTTTGTCATAGAGACGGGTGAGAACAAGAACAGCGCATCCCTTAGGTCAGAGCAGCTTGTATGGGAATGACTGTAATCCCACTTGCCTGCCTTGGAGGCAACCTGAGCTTCATGAAGCTTGGCACGAAGGCTAGGCAAATAGATTATTGCCATTCTCCAGCAGTTGCAATACGTGAGAGTAAAAAGAGTTTTGTCTTGGGCTGAGTAAGCAATTACACTCAAATCAAAATGCTTTCTTTTAAATCAACCAATTTGTAGTCACTTTTCAGTGAACAACTCAAAAAAAAAAAAAAAAAAGTGACATGAAATATTTTTGCCACCAAGTCTGAATATTCCACACAAGAAGAGTTTTGATAAAAAAAAAAAAAAAATAGCATCATGCCAAAATGTTGGCAGTACAGTCCTCCTGCCAAAGATCAAGCAAAGATTTCATTTGCTGTGAAATTAAATCTCCATCTGAAGGTGTATCAAAATGTATAATGTTCAGAAAAAGTGCTCTGTGTCCTTGTCAGGGCTTAAGCCTACATAGCAATATGTACGAACAACACTCTGTTACCCCATCAGCCACAAGATTTCCTCTTCTCCTTGGACCAGCAAGATGAAGTTAGTTACAAGTGTCCAGATGACAGAAATTCAGGAACACCAGCTATTAGGAAACTCCACTAAAAGCACAATATAGCATGCATTCTCAGCAACGGAATTTGCAAATGCACCTGCCTCCTCCTTCTATCTGTGTGAAGCAAGCTGTAGAAGTCTGTTCTTTTCAAAATGCTCAGTAACTTTGGGTTTATGTATCTGAAAGATGATCGTCAAACTTTCCCTTTGTGAAGACAAACGTTGATAGTTTCACTCTTCAAATTAGCAATGAAACTATTTATAAGTTAACATAATTTTATTACCACTAAGTGAGGGGTGGTATCTTGTGAGCTTCAAGAATATCAAGGTAAGCAAAACCTAAAACATTTTCTGGCTTTCACGAGTTCATGTGTAATTTATGTAATTGTAGAAACAGACAAAAAGATTGTTCTTAGACCTGTGGTGTTCTCTGCCCAAACCTCTCCACCTTCTTGTTCCCACAATCCTTTAACCTCATTTCTTAGCTAGTATTTGCATACATTTAACTTTCTTTTTAATCTCTAAATATTCTCTTCAGTTTTCCTTTAAACAAACTGCCATCCCCTTTCCTAGGCTCTAATCTCCCCCCCACCAAAAGACTCGTCACAGGGGCAGACTGTAGAGCAAGGGTTCCTCCCCTGCACAAAAAACAGTTTCAGCCATAAGGATAATTCAACGGTATTCAACGGTCGCTTCACGCTTCCAGGACGCACCCAGCCCACAAGAGCAACTGGCCTGAAGCCTTCTGGATAACTGCACTGGGGAACACAAGCAGCTTAAGCCACAACTGAGAGGTTTATGCCCTTACCAGCTGACTATCCACTCAGTTTTATCTGCCCACAGAGACAGCAGGTGCCATGTAGCCATCAGAATAAACATTAAACACTTGACACCACTGCGGACATGGTCAGAGTCACAGTTCGTAGCCATAGCTGCACAAAGGAACAGTAACAGAACCGGTCAGCGTCAAGAAAAAAACATTCTAGTTGCTGCTCCGTTCACTTTTCCCCAAGAGGCATTTTCCCTCCTCCTTCTTCCGTGTTTAAAACGCAGCAACAAAAGCCCTATGATTTTCCTGGCAAAATACTGGTCAGACACCCCCAACTTTTGATCCCTTGCCAGCTTACAGCTCAAAGAGGAACCTCAATTTTCAAGCCAATGCAAGCAAGCACAACGACATCAGAGCCCCTGAAAGGGTTCCAGCAGGAAGGGAACCGCTGTCTCCTCACCACTTGCACTCCGTCGTTAAAGCTAACCTGCGAAGGTGGCTGCTTTCTCAGGGCAGCTGGAGGCTATGCGATGCACTCCCCAAGGGCTGAGGATCGAGGCAAGCTTCACCACCCTGTCTCTCCAGGCCTCGTTCTTTGACCATGGGCACGCTGCAGAGACAGCCCAGCCCACCGCACACACCTGAACTGGGACTCGAAATGAAACCCCCAACACTTTAGCTCAGGATGGGAGAAAAAGTCCCAGATGCTGGATACAATTGTGGGGGCAATGCCAGAACCAAATTAGAATAAAATGTTTTTTTAATAAATGTTTAACACTATCACAGGATGAACGCGGCATAGAAGCTTTCAGGTTAGTCCAACAAGCATGATTTTGCTCTCACAACTGTCAAATAAACTTTCAGTGAAGTCACTTTGGACTCTGAATTGTAAACAAAAACAGGGCAAAGCCAAAGGTTATCTGTTAAATACACAGTAGATAACATGAGTTAGAAGCCAAAAGTGTGTCAATTTATATCTAAGCACTTCCAGACACTCACTCTCTGGTCTTGGCTAATCGCCTCAACTTCAGAAAATGTTTTTCCAATAATTTTTATTTTGCAGGATTCAGCAACGCATTGTGTCTTTTTCTTTTTTTTTAAAACGCTTAGGTTGCCCTCCTTTTCCTTTTCTTTCAGCAAAAAAAAAAAATTCTGAAAGAAAGTATTTTTAAGAAAAAGAAAGACTGTTTTAGTTTAAATGTAGTAAACTGATGATTTTGGCCAGATGCCATGGGTTATTCCATCTATTCTCTGCTTGCAATACATGAAGTGGGTAACTGTTACCTTTCTTGGATATTTTAATGGGAATGGTCTCTGGAGGGCGGAGAGGCTGTTTTACCTAACAAACAATGCTACAAAGTACACCACAGCTGAGCACTACCCTGTGCTCAAATGCAAATCAAAGTATAGAAAAAGAGGAAGAGTAAAGTGATGCTTCTTTTAAAACTACATACTTACTGTTTCTAGTGTGTAATTATTATTTCTACTCTCAGGAAACTGTTACAAAAGGAAGAAAAAAATTGCAAAAAATTCTCTCAGATTAAGATGAAAAATCATCTGTGACCAACTGCAATGTTTACTTGAAGTCAATCTGGTATTTACAGATTTGTTTTTTAAAGTGCTTTGAATATAAACAAGCCTTTATAAATACACTGGAAAATGTTTAAACTTCAGCCAGGGATAAATGTTTCATTTCATAAATTAACATTGGCTTTTGGTTGACAGTTGAATATTTTAGCATGACAAAGAAGCATGATATGGACCTTTTTGCTGAAGTCTAGTTTATGGCAACAGGTTTCCAGTGTATAACTATTATACAAGCTAATGTTATTCCTGTTACAGAAAGCTAAACTTGCTTTGGAAGTAAAATTTGTTTGCTTATATTAGCCAAGTATCACTCAGCCCTAAGACAGCACACTGAGGGGAAAAAACAGCGTTTTCTGTCTTCTCTTCATACCAAGAAAAATGCCGGAAAGCATGAAAATTAGAGGAGAATGTTGTTGCAGAAATAAGAGAAACATTACTTGGGTTTCTGAACAGAGCTGTAGAACATGTGGTTTAAGAACTGCTGAAAGAATTAAGAGCACATTCCTTTTAGTTTGATTCAACAGTTTTCTTCATATAAAAATTACACTATTAAGCTCACTGTTGTGGAAAGTGAACATATTTACTAAGTCTTAACAGAAAATTATTAGCTTTTAATACAAAACATTCAGCCAGTGTGCAGTCAACTGTAGTTTTACTCAAGACCTTAAAATCATTATTGGTCTAACTATTTACAGTTAATAGCTTCAGTCATTCAAAAAACAGAGCTATTGCCAGTTCCCTGAGCTAAGCGAAAAAGAGAATTTATGTAGTGGAAATATATTTCACCTACAGATATCTCCTTGCTGTCAGTTCAAAAGCCCACTTATGATTTCCTTCCTTTGCTGGGGGGGGGGGGGGGGGGGA